CCTCCCAAGTAGCTGGGACTACAGGCACCTGCCACAACACCCGGCTATTTTTTGGTTGCAGCCATCATTTTTGGCGGGCCCAGGCTGGATTCGAACCTGCCACCTTAGGTGTATGTGGCTGGCGCCTTAGCCACTTAAGCCACAGGTGCCCAGCCTCTTTTTTTTTTTAGACAGAGTCTCAAGCTATCACTCTGGGTAGAGTGCTGTGGCATCATAGCTCACAGCAACCTCCAATGCTTGGGCTCAATTGATCCTCTTGCCTCAGATTTTCTATTTTCGGTAGAGATGGGATCTTGCTTTTGCTCAGTCTGGTCTCCAACTCCTGAGCTCAGGCAATCCACCTGCCTCAACCTCCCAGAGTGCTGGGATTACAAGTGTGAGCCACCGCGCCAGGCCAAGGCTGTTTTCTATCTTGTACTATACAGACCATATACACGTTTTCATATTTCTTTATACAAAATGGGCTTTTCCACATAATCAACTATGAAAGGAGGCTAAAAACAACTGCAGCTTTGTGGGCCAAGTCCGAATGCAAATGCTGCCATTCTCCAGACTTAGCCGTGTGAAGAAACCAGATAAATCTAAGGAAAACAATTCATTCTGTCCCATCAGGTGATTTGAAAAGCAGGAGAATGACTCTTTCATTTCAGAGTTAAGTAGCTGTTCATGTTGGTGTTGGGGGAGCTCCCCAGCAGCATTTCCAATCTGGGTTGAATGTTGAAGTCAGCAGGGGAGCTTTAAAAATTACAGATCTGGGCCAGCATGATGGCTCATGCCTATAATCCCAGCACTCTGGGAAGCTGAGGTGGGTGGATCATCGGAGCTTAGGAGTTGGGAGACCAGCCTGAGCAAGAGCAAGACCCTGTCTCTATTAAACAGAAAAACTCACCAGGGGTTGTGGCAGACACCTGTAGTCCCAGCTACTCAGGAGGCTGAAACAAGAGGATCTCTAGAGCATAAGAGTTTGAGGTTGCTGTGAGCTGTGACACCACCACACTCTACCAAGAGCAACAAGTGAGACTTTGTCTCAGAAAAAACCTGCCCCAGGATCTCCAGAAAATATGCAATATGCAAATGTGGCGATGTGCACAGAATGATAAGGGTGCTTTCTCAAGGAGAATGCATAAACCAGGGCCATTAGAACTTGGGACACCCAGGCAGAGACCAGCAGGAGTGGAACCCTGCTGGGTCAGAGGGCAGTACCTCCAGCAGCCTCTGCTCACCCATCAGGCAGCCTGTAGAAGGGAGCTGGCTGCCGTGGAGAGGAGACATGCACTGACCTGGTTCTTTTCATGGACAGAACAGAAAGCACCGAGGAGGAGCCTGACGATGGACAAGTGATTATAGCGCGCAGCAACGTGCAAACAGGTGTCGCCTGCCTGCGGACAGAAACCAGACTCTAAGCACAGACTGAACAGTTACAAAACCAAATAGAGAAAAATAAAAACAAAATACCATTTAAAAGCTGGCACACAATTACAAACTCCCTTTCAGGGATGCTGATGTGAATATAAGCATCTCTCTTAACATTGGTGTCCCACCCCAATGCCCTGCCACCTCGGGCAGCCCTGTTCATTTTCTGCCTGCGCAGAACCATCATGTGGCCAAACAGAATCTCTGCTTTCCTGTTTATGAAACTGGATGTCTGGTCCCCACCAGACTTTGGAAGAGTTGAGGAGGGGTCTGTTTTCCAGCATCTGATAAGGATCCACTGACCCTGGCCTTCCCTACAACCTAGGGGGCCTGAAGTAAACTAAATTAAGGCCAACAGCATTGTTTTGGTAACCGCTCCCAGCACAGACACATCATGGCCAAAAGGAGGAGGCAGCAGGGGAGTCGTCAAGTTTTAAGAGCACGTGTGTTTTCCCAAATTCAAGGAGCATCCCATTTCAACAAGACTCCAATATCCTACATGGAACAATGTCGCCTGGGAAGCTGACCAGGGGATAATCATTGGGAGCAAAAAGGGCATTCAGAAAAGCCCAGCACTAAGGTCTTCCTCAGTGGGCACAGGTAGATTCTGCTCCCAGCAAGACATCAACAGAACTGGAGCCAGAGCCGTGATGCCTGCAGTGTTCTCCTGACATTTCCATTCTAGCTCTACCTAGAGAATGGCAGCTACTCAGCTCAACCTTGTCCCCTGCATTAAGAAGGAGCTGAACTGAAAGCTGAGGTTCAGAACATTCTAGAATAGTCTTAGATAAGCCTGCCCCCAAACAGGAAGACCCCCAGCTAAGGCCACTTTGAAGAGAAGTTCCTGGTTTTCTTGCCAATGTGGCTGATGCGTGGGATTTATAAAGGAAGTACAGATTCTTCATAGAGGAAGAAGGGATACTACTCAGGTGCCCCTTCAGGTTACCTCGTCCCTAGGACGCCTCAGTCATCAGCAGGACCTGCCCTCTGTAGATGCTGGGCGGGGGCGTCCTAGGACCTCTCTAAGTGGCATTACTTCATTTTTGCTGATAATAGTACGACACCCCATGTGAGTGGGGACCTTCTTGTAACAGTTAGCAGGCTTTCTCAATTGTCACTGGCAGGCATGTGCTATAAGAAATGATAAAATGGGCTGAGAATGGTGGCTCGCTCCTATAATCCGAGCACTCTGGGAGGCCAAAGCCGGTGGACTGCATGAGGTCGGGAGCTCAAGACCAGCCTGAGCAAGAGACCCCGTCTCTACTACAAATAGAAAAACTAGGGGTGGCACCTGTGTTTCAGTGAGTAGGGTGCCAGCCCCATATACCGAGGGTGGCTGGTTTGTGCACGGCCCTGGCCAAACTGCAACAAAAAAATAGCTGGGCACTGTGGCAGGCACCTGTAGTCCCAACTACTCGGGAGGCTGAGGCAAGAGAATCGCCTAAGCCCAGGAGTTGGAGGTTGCTGTGAGCTGTGACACCATGGCACTCTACCAAGGGTGACAAAGTGAGACTGTCTCTAAAAAAAAAAATAGAAAAACTAGTTGGGCATTGTGACAGGCACCTGTAGTTCCAGCTACTTGGGAAGGAAGAAGCCAAGAGTTTGAGGTTGCTGTGAGCACTATACCCAGGGCAACAGAGTGAGACTCAGTCTCAAATTAAAAAAAAAAAAGATAAAATGAACCAAAGTGAGGAGCAAAGGGGAAAGGATGAGAAAAAAGCAACGTTTTCAAGTCCTGTGATTTCTCTTGTCATGCGCCTAAAATGGCCTCTTAGGAAATTAGCAAAACATGAATAACTTTAGAAATAGTTCTCAAACACTTTTTACATCTTAATTTTTAGATGTGAATACTCAAGTATGCTTTGGGGGTTATTTTCTGAAGTGATGAGAAGGAGGAGGAGAAAAAGGGAGGGGAAGAAAGAGATGGGCAGAGGGGAGAGAGAAGCCAGTTTTGTTCACCCACATTATTTTTGAGGTCAGCACGGGCCCCGCCCAGCAGGAGGACTCGAGTGCTCTGGGAGTGGCTGTTCTGGCAGGCCAGGTGCAGAGCTGTGTTCCCCGCCTTGGAAAGAGGCAGACAGAAGGGAGGACATGTTAGCAACCCGTTTCTGCGCAGCACTTACCCAGAAGGGAGAAGTCAATGCTGGCGCCTCCTGCAGAGTGGTCCCAGCAGGGGCGCCAGAGGCTGGAACATTTAATTTGGAATCCACAAGGCAAGGCCCTTCAAATGCTCAGCTTTGAATTTCTTACCTGTGAAGTGTGGCTTTTTCAAATTTATTCTTGTATTTTTCTTGAAACTTCAAAATTTAAACTATGAGGAGGAGTGGAGGGGCCAAAAACCTACCTAATGGGTACAATGCACACTATTTGGGTGACAGCACAGCTATAGCAGCAACTCAAGCATTACAAAAGCAATCCATGTCACCAAAAACATTTGTACCCCCTCAATATTAATAGTTTTAAATACAAAAAAATTTGAACTATGACTAAGGTGCCCACCGAGCAGGAACTGTGGCTGCATCTGTCATGTAGCACACAGCTCCAGTTCCTTTTGCTTTTTGGCCTCTCCCGTCAACATGTCACAGCCCAGGGGTCAGAATAATGCCTATTGCAATCTTGTAGGAAAAATGCCATGACAGGAACAGAACTTTCGAGTCTGTGAGAGCAATACCTGCAAGCCCTGGGGAAGTAAAAAGGAGGCGCAGGATGACAGGAGATTGGCGCTGTCCCAGAGTCAGGGGGACTCCCCAGGTGACGCACCCCTGCCATGGCTCCTCCCTCACCCAGCACTCCCCTTCTTCTCTCATGGCCCTGGCTGATCCTCCAGGATCTTATTACATTCCTGACCTTTCCAAAAGAGAAATGAGGTTTTTCTTTTTTCATTTTTAAATAGAGAAAAACTGGACGGGTCAGTTCACAGACCTCTTCTCATAACCTCAGCACTAATCAGCCCAGTGAGTCCTCCTTACTGTTACCTCCTGGAACATGGGGGTGACATGCCAAGCCTGAGGGCTCCGAGGTCCTCAGCCCTCGCTGCACTAGACCCACTCGGGGTGGGACATTGGCACCACTGTAGCCCTTCTGGAGACTGACTGACTTAGCCTTGGGCTGGGATCTCTGCTGTCCCTGTCTCAGCACTTGAAGTCCTACATTCTGAAAAGTCCCTCAGTCTGGGGCAAACCTGGACAGGCAGTCATTTTAGGCCTGGTCTTCGGGGTTTTTCTTAAGTTTGCTTTTTCTTCTTTTGCTGAAAGTTCTCCAGGAGAGTCCAATGGGCACTGGTGGAGAGCCGCTGCTAGCTTAGTTCTCAGGAACGGGATACACATTCCAGACCACATTCCACACCCTCTATCCTGACTGTGGTTGGCTTGCAGAGTGTGCTGGATAAATGAGTGGAGTAAAAGAAACTTGGCAGCCCCAGAAATACAGAGAACTGGCTCAGCACCTGTGGCTCAAGTGGCTAAGACACCAGCCACGTACACCTAAGCTGGTGGGTTCGAATCCAGCCCGGGCCCGCCAAACAACAATGACGGCTGCAACCAAAAAATAGGTGGGCGTTTTGGCGGGCGCCTGTAGTCCCAGCTACTTGGGAGGTGGAGGCAGGAGACTTGCTTGAGCCCAGGAGTTGGAGGTTGCTGTGAGCTGTGATGCCATAACACTCTACCCAGAGCGACAGCTTGAGGCTCTGTCTCAAAAAAAAAAAAAAAAAGAAAGAAATACAGAGAACCACAGCTTATTCTGCCAATAAGAAAACATCAATTTATATGCAAAAGTGTTTGGATCAAGCAAATGGAAGCCCATATGTTTGGATAGACGAATCATGGCCACTCCGCGTTTGGAGAACTGGTCAGGGGTAAACAGGAGGGAACTCCTCGAACGCGCAGCGCCACAGAGAAACCTCAAGACTTCACGGGGACTGAGAGAAGCCAGGCGAGAAAGGCCTCGTACGCAGGGCTGTATGATTCCACTTACGGGATATTTTTGAAAAGGCAAAACGGATTTGTGGTTCCCAGAGCTGGGAGAGAGTGATTGGGGTGAAGAACTTTTGGGGGTGCTGGGAACATTCTCTGTCTTGTGGCGGTGCTTATATGACTGTGTGCATTTGCCAAAATTCATACAGCAGTGTGATCTCACACCTAAGAAAGACAAACTCTGTAAGTTGTACCTCAAGACCTAACATTCAAACATAGGACCTGGCGTACAAGTATGAAATTGTCCCCACTCTGAGCAACGGGCACGGATTTCCCAGACAGGAGCCGCCATATTTGCTGAAGAAGGATCTTTCTAGTGGCTCTCCCAGAGGCTGAGGCTGGTCAGAATGTAGAAGTCACTCTGGGATGGCATGAGTTACCTGACCCACCTTCCCAAAGCCATTTTATCTAGAGGGAGAATCTATACCGACCGGGGCTAGTTCATGGCCCTAACTGTCTTGCAAATGACCTTGTGTCTTGGTCAAGCATCTATGGGCTCCCAGCTTAAACTTATGTACCCATTAACTGGGACCACCTACTTCTCAGAGTTAGTACAAAAAGAAAATGTACTTATACAGCAGCTCAGGTTCTCTACTGAAGACATGGAGCAGTGCCCAGCCTGCCAAGCAGGGAGCCGGGCACTCAGTGCTGCAGTATGACAACACAGTTTCCTTTCCCCTAAGGCCTAACCCATGAGGGAAACCTGACACATTCAAATGACAGCACGAAGCTGCGTGTGGTGCCACGAGAGCTGCAGAGACAACACTGTGGTCCTTCAGGGAGGGGGAGGCCTTGGGGGCCAGGCTGCAGGCCAGTCCCAGGGAGCAGGAAACAGGAGGAGCCAGTGAGCCTCCTCAGAAGGCAGGAGTGTGTGGGGGAGGGAAGAGGCAGGGAGAGCTCCAGAGGCAGGTTGGGGGTGGCCTCCAGACAGCATCAGGTTGGGGACATTACTGAAAGGTTTCTGAGCAAGAGCAGGATGGCAAAGGGACTAGACTCAAGGCAGCCAACCTATGCTAAGGCTTCTGAAATAATCTGGGGACACTGAAGAATTAGCATGGAAAGAGAGGGACAGGTGTCAGACTTGAGGGGTGTCCTAGAGGTGAGCAGGGACTACAGAGGGGAGACAGCAGAAAGTGCAGGAGAAGAAAAGTCCTTCCCTCTCCCTGTCTCCATGAGGACAGGGATGGCTCAATCACACTCTTCCATGAGCAGATGGGAAAGTAAGGAGGGTAGGTCGCCCAGGAGGTCAAGGTCAAGGCCGCTGATGTAGGTTCTTATGCTCCTCGTGTAGATCATGCTTGCAGAGGAGTTTCAAGTTTTCATTTCTATTTCCTGCAGTACACAAGGCCCCGAGAAGTCACTTCACTGATGGAGCGCATTTCTATTTCTAATAGGTTTGTTGCTAATCTTGTGTGTGGATGTGCGTCAAGGTGTTGTAAACTAGAGATACTGTGATTTCGGATCCAACTTGGCCATAATATTGTGCACATACTCTGTGTGTGTGCATGTGTGTATACATGTACATGTGTGCGTTTTGGTGCTGTGGTGTGCTGTGACACCACAGCACTCTACCAAGGATGACAAAGTGAAACTCTTTTTCAAAAGAAAAAAAAAAAAAGAAATGAGGACAAGCTCTTCTGTGACCCTTTCTTACCTCTCCTGCAAATATCCCACAGGTACTGACAGTGCTTTTTAATATTTAACATAAAATATGCCTCTTCTCCTAATTGTAAATGAATAACCAGTTCATTTGGAAAATTTGGGAAAGATACCAAAGTAAAAATAAAAATCAATCATAGCATCAATCCTTAGAGATAATGACTGTTACTATTCTAGTGACACCCTTCCATGCTTAAATTTTTTAATATGTAAATTTATAATGAATACTAGGACATGTAGCATATATGATTTTATATCCTTTTGTCATGTTCTTTAACAAATCAAGAGCATTATCTTCTAAACTATGATTTTTTTTTTTTTTCAGACAGAGCCTCAAGCTGTTCCCCTGGGTAGAGTGCCATGGCATCATAGCTCACAGCAACTTCCAACTCCTTGGCTCAAGCGAGTCTCCTACCTTCACCTCCCAAGTAGCTGGGACTACAGGCACCCGCCACAACACCTGGCTATTTTTTTTTTGGTTGCAGCTGTCGTTGTTTGGTGGGCCCAGGCTGGATTCGAACCCACCACCTTAGGTGTATGTGGCTGGCGCCTTAGCCACTTGAGCCACAGGTGCGAAGCCTAAACTATGATTTTTAATATGAATTGTATTCCATTATATGAATGAACAATCATTTTAAATCCCTTCCCCCACATTTAAAAAATACAACTGGCTGGGTGCGGTAGCTCACACCTGTAATTCTAGCACTCTGGGAGGCTGAGGTGGGTGGATAGCCTGAGTTTAGGAGTTTGAGACCAGCCTGAGCCACAGCCAGACCCTGTCTCTACTAAAAATAGAAAAACTAGCAGGGCACTGTGGTGGGCGTCTGTAGTCCCAGCTACTTGAGAAGCTGAGGCATGAGGATGGCTTGAGCCCAAGAGTCTGAGGTTGCTGTGAGCTGTGATGATGCTATAGCACTAGTCAGGGCAACAGAGTGAGACTTTGTCTCCAAAAAAA